TATAATTAATTTAAACTGTAATAGCTACATGTGGCTAATGGGTAATGTATTGGAGAGACAGAGTTAGAATATATTTAAAAGCAGTAATAAGTAGTAAGATTTAGCTCACTAAAACCAAAAAACCAAACTCACTGACATCGAGTCAGATCCAATTCATAGCAACTCTTCTTGGATTTCCGAGGCAGTAACACTAGGGAAGTAGATCGCCCAATTTTCCTTCTGAGGAGTGGCTGGTGGGTTTGAACCGCCAGCCCTCTGGTTAGCAGTCAAATGCTTTACGCACTACACCACCAGAGCTCCTTAGCTCACTAAGTCAGAGAAATTATATTAAAATAATAAGCAATCTCAAATGGTAAATACAATTTAATGAAATAATACCTTTATATTCATCAGGATGTTCCTCATACTCCATACAAAATGTAAGAAATTTCATCAGCATTCGCTTTTCTACCATAGTAAGTTGTTTATTATTAAAGACATCTGCTCTGGAACAAGGAACCTGAAAAATATTAAGAAACTGCTTCCTAGTAATACAAGTATTATAAATAACATTTTCCCCCATAAAGTATAGCAGGATTATTATTATTTCCATTCTAGTCAGGTTGTTTCATATTACCTTAATCAGTTCTAATGGCATCTCTGTTGACTTCAGAGCTAATTAAATTATGTACTCTCTTACTTAAGTCTACCAACTTGTTCATCTTGTCATTAAAAGGCCAATGGCATACCCCTCCCTCTAAACTGAGAACAAATGATAGTTCAAGTCTAACAATAGTACCTGAACCTGATGCTTTCTCAACACCAACATTAAGCTACTGCATAACTCATAAGAAAATTAACACTAGAACTTTCAGTTGATGGATAGTTTGTGTTTGAGCAATTTCTCACCATTTATATTTGTAAATCACCATCCATGACTAGAATTTAATGCTTTCTGAGGAAAATAGCAATCTTATTTATTTATCCTTCCAAAATGAACGAAAATAGCTTAAGCTCACACCCAGTTACAATACCTGTTCCACTCTTCCTTCTCGAAATGCAAGAATCCTGGTAATATTTTTGAACTCTGCATACCGACTAACATTCGATTTTATTAGAAGATCAATTAGCAATCCTCGAGAATACAGCAGCTGTACAAATTATTTTAGAGGATGAAATAAAAGGTGAAAGAGAAAATAACTGATAAGTGATAAATATAGATAAATAATTGTTATATTTTTAATTTGTAAAAAGAATTATAGCTACAAATACAATGCATAACAAAAATTGACTGACTGCAGGTCACAAGGAGCTCTGATAGCATGTGCCTAAGGCACTTGACTGCTAACCAGAAGGCTGGTGGTTCAAACCCACCAGCCACTCCTCAGACGGAAGGTTGGACAATCTACTTTGGTAGTGATACTGCCTCAGAAACCCAAGGAGGGGTTGCTATGAGTCTGGTCCGAATCAACGGCACATAACAACAACAACAATAGCAGGTTCACAACAGATTATGTGAAATTCAAAATCCAAAAAGCTCTGGAATCCAAAAGTTTTTGGATGCTAACTATGTTGGCATCAAAACTTGATACAAACTGATATAAAGCTCTTCTGTCCTTGTTTATTCCATTTAATATGAATATTCACAAATTTCACTATAGAAATATTAATGTATTTGGTTATACAGTGTTGCCTAAAACCTTGCTGAAAATGTTACTTGATACAGTCTGAATTACAAAACACATTGGGTCTCAAGGGTTTCAGATAAAGGGCTGTAGACTGGATATAGCCAGATGGTTATGCTTCCACTCCCTCAAAAAAAAAAAAAAAGAAAAAAAAAAGATTTGTGATACATTTTCACTGAAACAGTCAAATTATAAGGTCTTTCTCTAATCAAACAGTCTAGATTTATATAAGTCTCTCCCAAGAAATGAGGGTGATGATTATTGCCAACATGTATGCGAGGAACTGATTTAATCTTTCAACATCTCTCATAATCCATTTAGAAAGACAAAAACGGTAATTTCAAGAGTATTATCAGCATGCTATAAATTTAACCACATGGACACCACAAAAGCATTTGGATAGCTCATTTATAAAAATACTTTTAAATGTCTATAAATTGATAAATGTTAAAAAAATGTAAATGTTACATATATAATAAGGGAGAAAAAAAAGAATGTAATTAGCTTTACTACAAAGAAATAGGGAAGCTAAAAATCAATCTATACCATTAGTCTGAGCATTCAAGAGGTCAGTAAGGACTTGCTGTAAATCAGTTTCAGTTAAGTGATTTTTTTTTAATAAACTATTATATTACCTCAGAATTGTGCAGAACAAACAAAATCGACATGGCATTTTTAAATTAATTCGATTACTCTGACTAAATAAGGCATGTTACTTCGTTATCTTCTGCTTAACACACTGTGCAACTGATACAGCCCATGTTTTTAAGAATATATTGCCAAGAGTCTTAATTACATAACTACAATTTTTTAAGTTACTTCAAATACCTTATTTGCTTGCAAAACTAGCACTTGAGATTCAAAGGTCCTCAATAGCCACAATAATTTTACAAATATTAATTTATCAAATTTTAAAATGTATTTTCATTTAATATAATCTAATAAAGCTTAAGATTCAAACTGCCAGCTTAAAAAATAATGCATCTGAGATACCTACCACACAAGAGGGAAAACAAATTCCAATTAAAACTATGCTAGAATTTTGTGTCTAAAGCCTAATAATAATAAAAATAAAAATCTAGCATATTTAAATCTAAGTCTCTGTTTTACCACCCTCTAAGTGATCTACTAGAGCAATTTCACAGTGGTAAAAGGCTAATGAATACAAGAATAGGAAGACTAGTGAGCTATGATTAAACTTCCATCCAGAGACCAAGAGTCAACGTAATGTGGAAAGAATGCTGTCTTTCAAAGCACGGCAGGGTCAAAGTAGATGAAGAAGGTGGGAGAGATGGTGCAGAAATATGAGTTAAAACCAAAGCACTAACCAGTTCAGACCAAGACAAAATCAGGTGCAGAGCCCTATGAGATAGAAAGAAGCAATGGATAGTAAAAAGATATTCACATTGCCATCTATCAAGTAAAAATGGAACAACAGTATAAGGATATAGGATTGCATCAGGAATATGTGAGGGAAATGCATTATTCTCTACCCTTACCTAATAACACTGGGAACTTTCATTAAGAGAATACACATATTGGAAAGCTGAGTTTTCAGAAACGTTGAATGTTATTCACTACGCACTTCTACTTCTTTTCAATTTCTCATTGTCCTACAACTTATGAGATTTGGTCTCTATTTTTCTGTTTAGCCAGGCCTTTTTCTTAGACTTTTAAGGTCATTATTCTTTATCTTATTAGTTTTCTATTCTTTTGCACTAAAAACCCTGCTTCATATAAACCTAATGCAATATTTTACCTTCCTAAGACCCAGGGATCTCTTCTGAAGTCATAATCATGTAATATTAGAGTTAATGAAGCAAACACCACCTAACACACTAGCACTCTTCCCAGTCTCTCTGTCCCAATCACTATTAAATTAATCTCTGAAGCACTCAAACTTTAACAAATGATTTTCAAAATGCATTGGTTTATTTAGAATACTCTTTATGGGTTGAAGTGTGTCCCCCAAAATATGTGTTTTAAATCTTCATCTCTATGCTTGTGGTTATAATCCTATTTGGGAACAGGTTGTCTCTGTTATATTAATGAGGCAGGACTGGTGTAGGGTACATTTTGAGTCAGTCTCTTATGAGATATAAAAGAGTTTAAACAAGCAAGCTAGGAAGCAGAGACAGGGGAAGACTGAAGCCAATCCACATGGAGATCTCCAAGGAACCAAGCTGAAGAGACAAAGATCTTCCTCCAAAGCTGACACAGAGAGAAACCCTTCCCCTAGAGCCAGCACCCTGAATTCAGGCTTCTAGCTTCCTAAACCATGAGAAAATAAATTTCTGTTTATTAAAGCTATCCATTTATGGTACTTCTGTTGTAACAGCACTAGACAACTAAGGCAATACTCAATATTATACACGTCCAAAAACAGTTAATATATATAAAGACTTTTAAAAAGTTCATTCAATAGACTGGCTGGGTGTAACATGGATTTGTAAACAGGTTAATTAGATTTTTCTTTTCACAGAATCCATAGTACCCAGATGTTAGGAAAATAGTAGAGTGGACTATGAGCTCAAAAAGAAAAGAATGCTTGCGATATAATGAAAAAACATTTTAACAGGTTTTTAATTTAAAGAATATTTTAATTTAATGATAAATTTCTAGCTACTGTCTCTTTATAGAATAAATGCTCTATACTTTGAAAATAAACTTATGAGAATTAGGTTTAGGCCCAGATGCTATTTTCAACCAATTAAAAGTCAGTGTTTTCTATAAGATAGGTAAAATTGGTACTTACCTTTGATACTAAATCAATATTAAATCTCCTGCCTTCTTTAATAATTTGTGAGTAAGTAATCACATTTTTCTTTGGTTGCTCTGCAGTATATTCTGCTGTAGGCATATTTTCACTTGTTTCCTCTTCAGATGTTGTCTGCACACAAATTTTATCATTACAATGGTTTTCTTTCTCCTCTACTGCTTCGACATCATTTATTTCAGGGGCACTCTCTGGATTACTGCTTGGAGTTTGTTCTGGAGGCATTTCACAGCTCACAGTGCTTAATGACTCATCTTCTGTAGGCAGGCAAACAGAATCTGCAGCTTCTGTGAGGTTCACAGATGTCACAGAAGCATGATTTTTTTGCAGTGCACCAGCTTCTTCGACATCTTCATGTAAATCTTGACTGAGAAATTAAAATAATCATCAACACTTAACTTTTTATCATTGTACTCTGGTACGTTTCTATATAGCTTTAACTTTGTATGGCTATTTTTATTTATTTATCCCAATTTTCTTATCCAGTTCATTGTATTTTGCCTTATATGACCCAAATATTCATCTGTTAAGGTTTCAAAAGAATACAAAAAATAATTAAGATTTTAAAAATACAAAAAGAAATTCCAAGCTTTAGGATTCTATGTCCCATGTACACTTTTGAGACTTTAGTCACACAGGAGAATTGAACTTTAGAAGCAATCGACACAGTGGTTAAGAGCACAGTCTTCAGAAATCAGTAGATATGGGCTGAAATTCTGACTCAGCAACTACATAATACACCCAATCCTCACTTATCAACATGGTTAGGTTCCAAAGACCACGTCATTATGGGAAAATCAATGTTATGCAAAAATGGAAGATGACAGTATCATTACATATCTGCTAAATTACATCATTACACAACAGCTAAATCTCATCTTTATATAACCACCAAATTTCATCATTATATAACTGCCAAACCACTGAGAATCACGGCCCAGCCAAGTTGACACATAACCTTAATCATCACAGTCAGTATTACTTTTGCCTCACATCTTGGCATTTGTTACTGCAAGATGCACATTGATAATGTGGTAAATAGTCAGATAATAGATTTGTTACTATTATATAAATATGAAATGTTAGAAAACGAGACAGTTAAAAATCAACTTTAGACCAATCACAATGATTATTATTTTATGTTCCCACAATATGCACATGTAGCTTATCTTGCATTTACTTATAAATTGTTGTTGTTGTTGTTGTTGTTATTTGCTGTCGAGTAGGATCCAACTCACAGCAACCCCTCCTTGAGTTTCTGAGGCAGTATCACTATGGAAATACATTGCCCAACCATCTTCCCGAGGAGTGGCTGGTGGGTTTGAACCACCAACCTTCTGGTTAGCAGTCAAGTGTCTTAGGCATTACGCTACCAGAGCTCCTATTCTTCAAAAAAGAAAACCATTAGAGGTAAGGAGTTAACAGAAAGATATATATATATAGCACTGAAAGATAAGACCTGTCAACCAAGAATTCTTTATCCAGAAAAATTATCCTTCAATAAGGAAGGCAAACTCAAAACATTCCCATATAAGCAAAAGTTATGGGGATTTGTTAACACCAGACCTGCCTTGTGTGTCCTTCAAGTGGAAAGGTAAGACAATTAACAAAAAGCTGATCTGATGAAGTACACAGGGAAGAAACTGATAATAAATAAATAAATGAAGGAGTAACTGTCAATAAAGGTAATGGCATAGGCAAACAAAAACTCCTACTACAGGGTATTATTACTGAGTAAACTCAATTGTTATATGCTATAAGCTTCATGTTATCATATGTCCACAACTAAATACAAAGCTATCCCAAAAGACACAGAACATATGATGTGAAAAATGAAACAATAAGAAAAAAGGGGGTCAGGAGGAGAGAATTAGGATGAGTTTTAAGGTTAATATTATTGTATGTTACTTGGTATTCATATGTTAATTATTAGTATTAACCAAAAATAAGTTATTGTACAAGAACAGATATGTACACACCCTTGGTCACCACAGCACTATTTACTACAGCAAAAAGATGCAAACAACCTATGTGCCTATCAACAGAAGAATGGATAACCAAACTATGGTACGTACACACAATGGAATTCTATGCAACCCTAAAGAATAACATAGAATTGGCAAAACACCGCATAACGTGGATGCACTTGGAAGACATTATTCTTGATGTCTTGAGTGAAATAAGTCAATCACAGAAAGATAAATGCTGTATTTGTCTGCTATTATAAAAAGTCAAGGAAAGATTTATATATGGAAGGAAATTTTCTTTGCTGGTTTCCAGGGGTGTGAGGGGAAGGGAGGGAACACTGTTAGATAGGTAGAGAAAAGTATGTGATTTGGATGAAGAGAAGGGCAATATAGCAAATGTGAGTGATCAACACGGTGGGACTGAGGAAGAGGAAGACATAGAGAGGTTCATGGGAGGTACAGACAACAAATATGAACCATTTTGCACATACAGCACTATGTTGTTAGTGAAGGCAGACGTTGATCTATAGGTGGATATATGCATGGATAAGCTGAACGATTAGGTATGTTTGTGCAGGGGGGAGTGCACCCAAGACCATGTATAAGGTTGTCAGACAATGTTTCTACAAGTGTATTTTTATGTTCTGTAAGAATTTCCAGGTACACAGTACAGGGAGCTCTGGTAGCATAGTGGCTAAGGCATTTGACTGCTAACCAGAAGGCTGGCGGTTCATATCCACCAGCCACTCCTTGGAAGGAAGATGGGGCAATCTAATTTGTGGTGATACTGCCTCAGAAACCTAAGGAGGGGTCGCTATGAGTCGGGTCCGACTAGACGACACATAACAACAACAACAACAGTACAGCTGACAAGGGACAAGACTGTAGTCACTTCTTGACCACAGCCAGCTACACAGAGGGAATGAGTAGTTGGACCTGTGAGCTCAGGACCATGGTCACAGGGGACATCAAGCTCAATTGGCATGACATACTACACAAAACATTGTTACACATCCTACTTTGGTGACTAGTGACTGGGATCTTAAAAGTTTGCAAGCGGCCATCTAGATGCAATGATGGGTCTTTCCTCGTCCAGAGCAAAGAAGAATGAAGAAAACCAAAGACACCTGGAAAGAATTAGTCCAAGCGATTGGTATACCATGCAATACTCAGCCTATATGACTATGAGACCAGAAGAAATAGATGGTGCCCACCTACCACTGTCAACCACTCAGAGGGGGATCTACATAGGAGATCCTGGATAGCGTGGGAGAACAATGTGGAACAAAACTCAAAATTACACACACACACACACACACACACACACAGGACCAGGTTTGCTGGTCTGATAGAGCCTGGTGGAACCTCTGACACTATGGCCGCTAACTGCCATTCAGGTCTGGAATTGAACCCACTTTTGTGGCTGCCAGCCAAACAAAAGATTGGCATATGAACTGAACATTTACATTAGGAAGATACACTCCTTGGAGAGATCAGTCATAGGAGAATAGAAGGCTGTGTATGCACAGGGAGACAGCTCAGAGGCCAGGAGTGCATGAGAGAGAAGGGCATAGGGAAGAGGTAACTATGGGGAGAAAGTGGGAGGAGAGCTATTGCATTGTGGGAAACTGCAGTCAGTGTCATAAGACAAAGTGTATGTGAGCTGCTGTATGGAAAATGAATTTGCTTTGTAAACTTTCACCCAAATCACAATAAATTTTTAAAAAAAAAAAGTCATTGTAAACATAAGGTCTCAAATGGAATTTTTATGGCAATCACTAAGAAAATACTTCAAAAATATACACAAAAGGTAAGAAGGAAGAAACCAAATAAACTCAGCACAAGAAAGCAACTTATCACAAATAATGACAAAATTCTAAGTAGAACAAAGGAATTATAAGACAAAAACAGGTAACAAAATAACTGAAGTAAATACATATCAATAATTACATTAAATGTAAATGAATTAAGTTCTCCATTTAAAAGGCAGAGAGTGGTAGAATGAATAAGCAAATATGATCCATATACCTTCTCTCTACAAGAGATGTATCTTACGTCCAAGGACACAACAAACTGAAAGTGAAAAGATGGAAAAGAATATTCCATATAACTGGTAACTGAAAAAGGGGACGGGTGGCCATACTGACATAAGGCAAAATAGTCTTTAAGTCAAAATTTATTATAAGAGATGAAGAAGAACATCATGTATTGATAAAAGGGACAATCCATTAAGAAAACATAACGGTGATAAATATATATGCACCTAACATCAATGTACCAAAACATATAAAACAAAACAGAACTTAACAGAGAAGTAGACACCTCTATAATGTAGAAGACTTCAACACAGTATTTTCATCAATGAGCAGAACTTCCAGAAAGACAATCAAGGAAATAGAGCACTTGAACAATACCATCAAAAAAAGAAAGAAAAAAAAAAAAAAAAACTCACAGACATTATATAACTCCCTACATCTTTGCTGAAGAGTGAAGATGTCTCTTGGAAGATTAAAGTGTACCTTATGCAAGCCATGGTATTTTCAATAGCCTCATATGCATGTGAAAGGTGGACAATGAATAAGGAAGACCAAAGAAGTATTAACGTTTTTGAGTTTTGGTGTTGGCAAAGAATACTAAAAGAACCATGGACTGCCAGAAGAACGAACCAATCTGTCCTGGAAGAGAAGTACAGCCAGAATGCTCCTTTGAAGCGAGAATGGCTAGACTTCATCTCACCTACTTTGGTCATGTTGTCAGAAAGGACCACTTTCTGTAGAAGGATATTACGCTTGGCAAAGTGGAGGGTCAGCAAGAAAGGGAAGGCCCTCCACGAGATGGATTCACACAGTGGGTGCAAAGATGGGCTCAGGTATAGCAAGGATTGTGAGGCTGGCACAGGAATGGGCAGTGTTTCATTCTGCTGCACATAGGGTTGCTATGAGTCGGAGCCAACTCAACGGCACCTAACAACAACAACAACCCCAAATCAGAACACTATACATTTCTCTCTAGCACACATTGGAGATTACCTAGGATAGACCACATTGTATGTCACAAAATGAGTCCTGAAAAGACTGAAACAGTATAAAAATATCTTCTCCAAACACAAAGGAAGAATATAAGAAATTAATAATACAAAGAAAAATAGCAAACGTATAAATACATGGAAACTAAATATCACACTATTAAACAACTAATGGGTCAAGGAAGAACTCAAGAGTGAAACAAAAAAAAAATTCTAAGAGTTAAATGATACTGAAAACACAGCATATCTAAACCAAAAGGCAATGGCAATCACCACAGTGAAATTCAGAGCAATAAACACATTCATGAAAAAAAAAGAAATATCTTAAATCATGACCTTTAATCTACAACTTGAGGAACCAGAAAAAGAAGAAAA